GCTCTCATATAATGTAACCATTTAGGATCCACTTTTAACTTGGACCAATGTAACTTCTTTATGCAATAAACTGAAAAGCACCAAAAGAAAGGGGGAAAAGGTGCATGAATACCCATAGCTTTACATATAACTGTCAAAAATTAGAAACAATCCAATATTCTTCAAAGGGTGAATGGTTAAACACTGATACATCTAAACAGAACAATACATGTAACAACTTGAATGCCCTATGTGCATTATGCTTATGATAAAAGCCAATCTAAAGTTGTTGCATATGCTCTGATTTCATTTATATAACATTCTCAAAATGATAAATCTACAGAAATGGGGATCAGATTAGTGATAGCCAGGGTACAAAGATGGAGGTGGGTACAATACATAGAGCACAAGACAGTTCCTGTGTGGTTTTGGAACAGCTTCGTATTTTGACTCTGGAGAAGGTTACACAAATCTATACAAGTGACTTTACACAAACATACACACAATGGGATGCATGTGAAAGCTAGCAAAAACTGAATGAGGTATGTAGTCAAGTTAATAATATTATACCAGTGTCAGTTTCCAAGTTTTGATATTAATTGTAGGATAAGTACTAGAGTGCAGCTCAAATCCATCAGTCACTCTCTGAAACCCTATACAGGGTTGCTATGAGTCAGAACCAACTTGATGGCACACAACAATATGGCATAGCTATATAAAGGAGCCCTGGTGGTGTTGTGGGTTAGGTATTGGACTGCTAACCCCAAGGTCAGTGGTTCAAATCCCTAAACCACTCTGCAGTAGAAAGATGAGGCTATATGATCTCATAAAGACTTTGAATATTGAAAGCCCCACAGGAAAAAGATGAGGCTTTCTGCTCCCATGAAGATTTACAGCCTCAGAAACCCTGTACAGGGTTATTATGAGTCGGAACCGACTCGACAGCACTTAAAAACAACACAATAGGTTAGCTATGAGTAGGATATCTATCTTTTGTAGCTATAGCTACACAATGTGTCACTGTTGGGGAAAACTGGTTAAGGTTGATAGATCTCCATGTCCCATTTTTGTTTGTTTGTTTGTTTGTTTGTTTTTTAAGTTATGAGGAACTGTGTTATTGCCTATGCCATGGACATACAGGTGTGGCACTGTAGGATAAGCACTGTTAACCATGAAGTTGGCAATTCACATCCACCAGCCGCTGCTCAGAAACCCTATTTGGGTTCTCTATGAATTGGAACCAACTCCATGACAAACAGCCACCACCACTGCTACTCAGGATCTCCTAATGTGATTGTAAAAAAAGGTATGGAAGCAGACCCTGATCTCTTCTGCCTTCTCCAGGGGGAAGGAGACTCAAACTCAACTTCAGCTCAAGGCTGAATCCTGTGAAGCAGAGGTCAGAAATGCTTCCCCTCTCTTTCCTCCTTTACTAATGCGGACACAAACTATCCCATGGCACTCTCAACTTCTCTTCTGGGTTCGATAATTCATTACAGTGACCACACAGAACTCACAGACAATACTCATGATTATGGGGTTTATTAGGGAAGTTAACAAGTTATAATTCAGGATCCGAAATGCTCAGGAGACAGTTCATTGGTCAGGATAGACACTTTTAAGTCATGCCTATAAGCATGCCTCTCTCATCTTCAGCCTCTCAGTCATGGGACCCGTTGGCCTACACTCTGCTCAGGCAATGTTACTAAGCATTTTTCTGCTAATAAATGCCCAAAGGGCACTCCATTTTACATTAAGCTTCAGTCCAAAGGTACGAAGTTCTAACTCTGTAGGTCAACAAACATAGCTCCCCCAATTAAGTACCTGGAGGCACCACACTGCACAACTGAGCCTCCTGCCTGAAGGCACTCAATTTTACTTCTTCTGTGTGTCAGAAAACCTGCTTATTTGTCTCATGCTCTGGCTCTTGTTTCTGATGCTGCCACTCCTCTCTGTCACAGCTCTCTGTCTCCTGGATTGAGGAGGCTCAGGGCACAGGGATCTCAGGGTCCACAGGACTGCTCCACTCCTGAGTCGTCTTTCCTGATGGTAGTGAGATCCTTCTTTCTACTTCTGAAATGACTCATTTAAACCTAATAGCATGACCTATTTTCATGACCTCACACAGTCATTTGGTAAGACTGTCAAAGATAATAGCTAGAAGAGCCATATCAAGTAATTCACTACACTACAATGATCCCTTTCAGAGTGGTTGGTAATGATAAGTAAGCACTATCTAGTTCTGGTCTCATGGTTATGGAGGTTCACATGGTCCATTAGTCCTTTGGACTAATTTATTTCCATGTGTCTTCAAAATTCTTCACTCTTGTTTATCCAAACAAGGGAAGAGGACTTCAGAGAAACTTTTAAGAATCCATTCACTAATCACCAATGTAAGATGTAGAACACTCTCTTTGTGAACTATGTTGTACCAACTGACTTTGATGTCTCAGAGACAATCGTCCTGAGTCCCAAGCCCCAGCAACTCATTTTCACGCAATGTTTGGTTATAATTTGGTTAAGATGTGTTCAGAACTTTGCCCCCTGTATGTTCTCCTATAATCATGGATATAAATAAATAAAACCAATCGTCTGTCAGTTTATCATACTGTGATGACTTGCATGTTGTTATAATGTTGGATGTTATGCCAACAATATTTTAAATAACAGCTGGGTACACCCAAGATGGGCAGGCTTCAGCTGAATCTCCAAACTAAGACAGACTAGGAGAGGTGAACTACTTCTGAAAGTTTATCCACTGAAACATTATGAACAGCAGTGGAATACTGTCAGATAGCCCCAGAATATTGAATACTAAAACATGATGAATAGTACCAGAATATTGTCAGATATAATGTTGGAGGATACACCCCTTAGATTGGCATCTACAATATGACTGGAGAAGAGCTGCTCCTCAAAGTAATTTGACTGTGATGACATGTATGGATTAAAGCTTTTAGGACCTTCATTTGCTGATGGGGCACAACTAAAATTGAGGGGAATAAGCTGAAAACACCTATTAATAATTGAAACATGGAATGTATGAAGTATGAATCTAGGAAAATTGGAAGTTTTCAAAACTGAAATTGAATGCATGATCATTGACAGTCTTGGCATTAGTGAGCTGAAATGGACTGATAATTACCATTTTGAATCTGACAGCCATGTGGCTTACAATGCCAGGAACGACAAATTGAAGAGGAATAGTGTTCCATTCATCATCAAAAAGAACATTTCAAGATCTCCCTTGAATCACAATACTATCTATGATAAGATAATATCCAAACACCTACAAGGAGGACCAGTTATACCACTATTATTCAGATATATGCACTAACTACTTAAGCCAGTGATGATGAAGTTGAAAAATTCTATCAACTTCTTCAGTCTGAAATTGATTAGATATGCAATTATTATTGGTGATTGAAATACAAAGGTTGGAAACAGAGAAAAGATCAGTAGTTGGAAAATATAGCCTTGGTGATAGAAACGATACTGGAGATCGCATGATAGAATTCTGCAAGACCAATGACTTGTTTATTGCAAATACTTTTTAAAAACAACATAAAGATGACCATACAGATGGAATATACAGAAATCAAATCGACTACATCTGTGGGAATTTATAGCAGAAAAATTCCATATCATCAACCAACACAAAGCCAAGGGCAGATTGTAGAACACACAATCAATTGGTCACATGCAAGTTCAGGCTGAGGCTGAAGAAAATGAAAACAAATGTACAAGAGACAAAATATGGCCTGGAATACACCCCACCTGAATTTAGAGATCATCTGAAGAATAGATTTGATCCATCAGACACTAATGAACAAAGACCAGGAGAGTTGTGGGATGGCATCAAGAAAATCATAGAAGAAGAAAGCAAAAAGTCATTAGGAAAACAAGAAAAAGGAAAAGACCAAAGTAGATGTCAGATGAGACTAAAACCTGCTCTCCATGTACAGATACTAAAGCAAATGGAAGAAACATGGAAGTAAACAAGCTGAACAGAAGTTTCAAAAGGGCAGCTCAAAAAGACAAAGTCAAGTATTATAATGACATGTGCAAAGATCTGGAGTTAGAAAACCAAAACAGGGAAGAACACAGTCATCATTTCTCAAGCTTAAAGAACTGAGGAGAAAATTCAAGCTTTGACTTGCATTATTGAAGGATTCCTGGTATGGTACTGTGGGTTAATGCACTGGACTGCAAAGTCAGTTTGAACTACAAAGTCAATGGTTCAAGCTCACTAGTTGTTTCTCGGAAACTCTATATAGGGTAGCTATGAGTCAGAACCTACTCAATGGCACTTAACAACAAAATGGGCAAAATATTGAATGATACAGAACGCATCAAAAGAAGATGAAAGGAATACACAGTGTCACTGTACTAAAAAACAATGAATGATGTTCAGCCATTTAAGGAGGTAGCATATGAACGAGAGCCAATCATACTGAATGAAGAAGTCTGAGCTGCACTGAAGACATTGGCAAAGAACAAGGGTCTGTTAATTGATGAAATACAAATTGCAATATTTCAACAAACTGATACAGCACTGGAGGCACTCACTCATCTATAACAAGAAATTTGAAAGACAACTACCTGGCCAACCCATTGGAGAGACCCATGTTTATGCCCATGCTGAAGAAATTCAGAAATCATCAGACAATATCATTAATATCACATGCAAGTAAAATATTGCCAAAGATAATTTTTAAATGGCTGCAACATTACATTGACAGAGAACTGCCAAAGATTCAAGCCAGATTCAGTTGAGGGATGGAATGAGGGATATCATTGTTGATGTCCAATGGATGTTGACTGAAAGCAGAGAATACTAGAAATATGTTTACCTGTACGTAATTGACTATGCAAAAGCTCTCAGCAGTGTGGATCATGACAAACTATGGACAATATTGTGGAGAATGAGTATTCTGGTACACCTAATTGTGCTCACGAGGTACCTGTACACAGGTCAAGAAGCAGTGGTTTGAACAGAACAAGAGGACACTGAATGGACCATGGCAGGACAAGAGGATCTGGTGCAGCAAGAGATTCACCAGGACTGGACGAACTGGAAGCTCATCGAGCTCATCACCAGCAGCATCAAGAAAATCGTGGATTTTCTCAACTCATTCGATATGTCTTGTTCAAGATTCATGACGCTAAACGAGAAACTGAAAGCCCTTGAATGGAGAATAGAGTACATCAAAGCCCAGGTGACAAAAGGTGAGACTCTCACCTAGAACTGTGCCATCATGCTGCTGGGAAGTTGATTTACAGGACGCAGGTCCACGTGGGAAAGGCCCAGCAGCCTCAGTCCACTCCTGTCTCCTCACAGAGCAACAGGGCTTATTCTTGTCTTTCTCTTTCGAAAGTGTGGCCTTTGGGCTCTGCGTGTACATCTGGGGGCATGATGTGACATGTGGGAAGAAGTCCAGGGGGACTCTTGGAGACATTAGACACTTTACCTTTTCAGTGACATTTTCTAGAACTACTTTTCAGTGTATTTGAGGCACTCAGATCCAAAAGTCTGGGACTCTTTTTTTTTTTAATGTTTTATTGTGAATTATGTGATAGTTTACATAGGAGAACATTAGCTTTACATTCATCCTATAGTATATAGTTTCATTACAATGGTTACTGTCCCCTCCATGCATCATCAACCAACCAAAGTGTATACACTACACACCTACACCCCCCACCCCCCACCCCCATCATCAACACACAGCCCCTCTCCCTCTCTGGGTCTGAAGTCTCCAGCTGCTCCATCTCTCCACGTCATCATATCTGCCTCCATCTCAGGCATCACTGCTTCTCTGGGTAGGGTCCCGTTCTTCGCTCTTCCCATGATAGTCTCAGGGACCTCTGCTCCTAGACTGCAAAGTTTATCACTCCCCTCCTTGCTACTAAACGTCTACCTTTACATTTCCAACCCTCACAATCAGTCCTGATAACAATTATTCACTATTGTATCACAAGAGACCCATCCGCATTTCCTTTCATCAGCCCTGCCTAGACAGATTGGATACTACTCAGTGGAGAAGTCTGGGACTCTTTGTAAGGTCCTCCCCATCTCTCTTTATCTCTCAGACTTTCCATACTGCTCTCCAGGCCTTTGCACTGTTTCTCTAAACAGTCTCTGTCTCCTCTGCACCCTTGGTGATGAGTAGGGGACAGTCTTGGCTGAGATACTCATGCCCTGGCAAGGTGGTTGCCACAGAATGTTGTTGGTAACCCATCAGTTTTTTGTCCTTTTGGGAAGGTCAAAGCCAGGCCCCCACTAGGCTTGAAGGGACATCTCCAGAGTTTTCTTTCTGTCACCTGGAGTGTCTTTGCCTCTCATATTTCCCTAATAAACTCCTCAACGGTCAAAAAAAAAAAAAAAAAAAAGACACTGAATGGTTTAAAATCAGTAAAGGTATATGCCAGGGTTGTATTCTTTTACCATACTTAATAAATCTGTATGCTAAGCAAATCATCTGAGAAGCTAGATTATATGGAGAAGACTATGTCATCAGGATTGGAGGAAGACTTCTTAACCACCTATGATATGCTGATGATACATACAACCTTGCAAATCTGACTTAAAATACTTACTGATGAATATCAAAGACCATAGTCATTGGTATGGATTGCATGGCAATGTAAAGAAAACAAAAATTCTCACCATTGGACCAAAATTAGAAGCAAGGATGGGAAAACTTAGTCTCTTGTACATGTTGTCAGGAGGGACCAGTGACTGGAGAAGAACATCATGCTTAGTAAGGTGGATGGTTAATAAGTAAGAGAAAGATGTCCATGAGCTATATTGACACAATGGCAGCACCAGTGGACTCAAACATAGCGATTGTGAGGATAGAATGATGCAGGATGGGGTAGTGATTCGTTCTGTTGAACATAAGGCTGCTATGAGCCTGAACCAACTCCATGGCACCTGACGACAGTAACTGGAGAAACTCTCAAAAGTATATCATGCTGAGATATCCTTTAATCTTGTAACCAAAACCACTCCTGGAGTTTACCTTTCAGCTAAATAACAGGTGTTGTTGTTGTTAAGTGCCTTTGAGTTGGTTCTAACTCATTGCTACCTTTATTCCGAAGAGTGGCTGGTGTGTTTGAACCACCAATGCTTATCCTACATTGCCACACCAGGACTTCAAATAACAGATAGGCTCATAAAGTCAACAGTAACACCAGTGAGTGGAATATGCTCTGAGTGGTAGGAACAAAATGACAAAAATTTCCTTCCCAATTCTGCTGTTTATACCATAATCATCGCAGAAAAGGATGAGGTTGTATTACAAATGATCTTCCTAGTTCCAAATTCAATAGAATGTTCTCATCCTCTTAACTTGTATAGCCATGAAGCAAATAGAATTACCCTAAAAAGATACTTGGTTCCTACTCTAGGGAAAACCTGACTCCTCTCCTCCTTTCTTCTTGTTAAGTGCTGTCAAATCAGTTCCAACTCGTAGCAACCTTGTAGAGGTTTTTTGGGGAGCAGCTGGTTGGTTTGAACTACTGACTGTGTAGTTCACAGTCCAGTGATGATCTTGCAGCATCATACCAGGAGTCCCCTCTCCTCCCTTAGGAAGAAAGAAGTATAAAGGGAAAACCTGGTCAAAGGAAACAACTTTTCCTCTGGTTTCAGATGTTCTCCTTTACTGATGTTGGCCCAGAGAGGCAAACTAAAATGTTCCATTCAAGGAGTCTGTGGTCAGCAGAAAGTGAGAGGAGAAGCACTAGTAGCCAGTCATTGGTCTTCTCTCATCCATCCCAGCCTTCCAGGTACTGGGAAAAAAAGAGAGCGAACTGAGACTCTACTGACTGTATATGAAGGAAAAATGACAGAGACAGTAGGAACCAGACAGTAGCAAAGGTCATCTACCACAGAGCCAGGGATTCAAGCAGTAATCTTAGGAAATCAGCGGCCTCAGGACTATCGCAAAGTCCCATGATTTCTCATCTGCTCTCCCACTTTTCACTGAGGTGAATATAGTCCAGTATCAAGAACCGGAATGTTGCCTCAGTCAAGTATATCAAATATATCATATTTATAATAGCCCATTTTTTTTTCTGACTTCATAGTGACCTGCCACAACATTGGATATAAATACAACTTTCCTGATGTTGTTGTTGTGTTAAGTGCTGTCAAGTCAGTTCTGACCCATAGCGACCCTGAACAAGGTTTCTGAGGCTGTAAATCTTTACGGGAGCAGAAAGCCTCCTCTTTCTCCCGCAGAGCAGCTGGTAGTTTCAAACTGCTGACCTTGAGGTTCTCAGCCCGATTTGTAACCACTACACTATCAGAGCCCCTTAACTTCCCTTATAGAGGTCATTTATTTATCTAAATTTGACTGCCATTAAGCAGATTCTGACTCATGGTGACCCTACATAGTGTTTCCGAGGCTGTAAATGTGTACAGAAGCAGAAAGCCTTATCTTTGTCCTGCCGAATGACTGTTATGTTTGAACTGGGAGATTTGAACTGGTTACCAGTCTAGTGTTTATTCTACAGCACTACCAGGGCTCCTTATTTATCTCCATAGGGCTACTTAATAAATTCATTTTTAAATGAATATTAAAATTCAAATTAAGTCAATCTTCAGAATTAAGTCTTATTTGATTTTTTTTTTTTTTTCTTAAGGTTTAGAAGAATTCCTTCCTTGCTTTTCCTCCATCTTTCCAGACACCATATTGGGTATTAAAGACACAAAGATGATAGATGACAGTTTCTCCTCTGAAGTTTCAATATGATGAGATGATATCAAAGGTGTATTTGAGGGACACTGTTGCTACCCACAGCCTAGGGAAATTGGGACAGTTTGATGGCATTGATGACAGTTTGATCACATTTGAACTGGAGCTTAAGAAATTGGTACAAATTGGTAAGTGATGAAAGAGGAGGAAATTTTCCTAGAAAGTAGAACATTTGATGCAAAAAATGTTAGCCATCTGTTACACTTGTTCATTCATTCAACAAATACTTATTGAGTATGTATTTTGTGCCAAAAAGGGTGTTTGTCCTTAATTTTGACCCAGGTTTTAACATTCCTCTTTCTCAGGCTAAGAAAGCCCATCATATTAGCCATGCTGGATGACTGCCTCTCACAATTCTGTTCCCTTCAAGTACTATGTCAGGTACTAGGGATAAAATGATCAGAAATAAATACTTTTCATGGATTAACTTTGGCTGCTAATGACAGAAAATGCAAAATAACAATGGCTCCAACATGATAGAATTGTCTATTTTATACACCGATCAAAGTCTAGATCAGTGATCTAGAATTGAAATGATGGAGTCACAATCACCAGGGACACAGACTTCTTTTATGCACTTTGGCCACACTAACATCACTTAAAGTTCCAAGACAGGTGTTCTTGACTACATTGTTATTGTCATTGTTGTTAAGTGACATTGACTAAGTTCTGACATACAATGACCCTCTATAGGGTTTCTGATGCTGTAAACCTTTGCAGAAGCAGAAAGCCTCATCTTTCTCCCATGAGTGGTTGGTGGGCTTGAACTGCTGATTTCACGGTCCAATGTGTATCCTACAGAGCCACCAGCAGGAAAAAGACAAGGAGGACAAGATGCTCATTTGTCTATCTTTTTAAGTACACTACCTGGGACTGACGCTATGGCACCTAACAACAACAACCTGGAACTTGGGACTCCTGGTGTGGTGCTGTAGGATCAACATTGGATTGTGAACCACAAGGTTGGCAGTTCAAACCCACCAGCTGCTCCTTGGAAACCCTATTTAGAGTCTCGATGAGTCAAGGTCTTAATAGATCCGTTTTGGAAGAAGTACAGCCAGAGTGCTCCTTAAAGATCAAGATGGCCAAACTTCGTCTCTCATACTATGGACATATTGTCAGGAGGGAGCAGTCTCTGGAGAAGGATATCATGTTCGGTAAGGTGGAGGGTCAGAGAAAAACAGGAACGAGATGGACTGGCCAAGTGGCAGCATCGATAGACTCAAGCGTGGCAGCAATAGTGAAGTTGGCCCAGGATTGGGCAGTGCATCGTTCAGCTGTGCATAAGGTTGCTATGGATCGGTACCGACTCGATGGCACCTAATAACAATAAGTCAGGACTGACTCTACGGCACTTAACAACAACAATCTGGAACTTGCATATATCACATTCACCAGCATTCTACTTTACAGCACTTAGTTATGACTACACCTAGTCCTCATTTCTGGCAGTTATGTTGTTGTTGTTAAGTACCCTGAAGTCG